TTTCTTTCTTTTCTTTTTGTCTTTGTGTACTTTCCCTTGTGTATTTGGTGCTATCCTTTGGAGGACTCAGCCAGACTGTAGGGTGTATTTTGAAAGGAATTATAAGGCTAATGTTCGTTCATAAATGAAAAATAATTATGCCCCAGGAATTCTTCCTGCTTGTTCTTACTATATGGAAAGTTACACAGTCTAGTGAATCAGATTTTGCTTTCCTATCACCCAGCCTGTTAATGGGACCAGAAAAAGGCAGCAAACCTACCCTTTGAAGTACTTAGGGAAATGACAATCAACCCTTTTATAAAAGATAAATTATTGAAGCTCATCATAATTAATCATTTTTAAATTTATGCATATGTAATTTATTCCTCATTTATTGGGCAGCTAGGTGGCATTGGAATGCCAGGCCTGGAGTCAGAAAGACCTGAGTTCAAATGTGAACTCAAACACTTACTAGCTCTGTGACCCTGGGCAAGTCACTTAACCTGTTTGCCTTAGTTTCCTCATCTATAAAATGAGCTGGGGAAGGAAATGACAAACCATTCCAGGATCTTTGCCTCGAAAACTCCAAATGGGACCACACAGAATTGAACATGACTGAAATGACTGAACAAAAATAATAAATATATTCCTCTTTGAAATACTGGTTAAAAAAGCATTGCTTTTGAGAATGAATTATATTCCCTGAAATTTTAGCCTGAAGTATACATACATAAACACTTTCTGACAAACCTCTTGAAACTGATTTATTTATATTGCTGATGGTTATAGACCTTTAGCTGCAGCGACTGTTCATCTATAATCCAGTATTATTGATTTAAGTAGATATTTTAAATCCCAGGATAACTTTTTATTTATGAAAAATTCCCCACTCCTTTGGGATGAAATAAATATGACTGCATTTGTTGTCTTTGCAACAAAAGTTACCTTTTCCAAAAAAAACCCAAAAACAAAACCAGCAAATTAATCAAATATGAAACATAGAAAATGCTGAACATATCTACCAAGGGCACATATGAACACCCTGAATCTACGATTCCAATAATTTTAAATACTATTTCTAGCTTTAATTTGTCCCTCTCATTCATTGTCACTTATAATTTTTACCTCAACAGACAACTATGCTGTCCTTACCCTCTTCTGTGTGTCTGCTATTCACTGCTTGCCAGGGTTTCTTGTGTCAGTGAAAAGTCCAGTGATAAATGTTAAGTCATTACATGCCTCTGATAGTACTAAAACTAGGTTGGAGAAGTTAAAACGAGACCAAAATAGGGGTGGTGATGACAGACCAGCTGTGATGCATGTTCCTTGTTTGCCCTCTGAGTTTTAGAAACTGGGTATTATGTGGATTACTCTAACCTCCTTGGCCTATATATTTACACTGCTCTTTGGTTAGCAGCAACGTAGAATATAGTGAATATTTGGTTTATTCTGATTAACGAGTGTTTTCTCCAGCGTCTTCCCACTGTGGAATTTTCTGCCTGAACACCTTTCCTTCCCCTTAAATATCCTCCCCCCCCACTATCCCCTCTCTCTACTACTTTAAGGCATAATGTTTTCATTTGACCTCTTAGCCTAGAGTATACTTTTCCTTTCCATTGATCTAGTTTATCTTTTGGAACACTCTTGAAAGCCTCTTGAAACAGCTAGACCTTTCTGACTGATTGGCACTAAAATTAAATATGTGAAAATAGCCTCTATTGGGCAAATGCTAATGAAATTACCCACACTTGATATTCCTGTAACTTCACTGTAGAAATAGTTATGATGGGCCGTGACAATGAAACAGCATTGGAAGTGTTTTAGGCTATAGTTCATATATTATGAAAAGAAGTCCAATTGAAGGAAAATCTTCTTAACTATTAGAGTTGTCCAAAAATAGAACAGACTCTCTTGGGAAGCAGTGAGATGTTCATCAGATAGAGGTGGGATGACCACTTGTCAGGTATGCTGTAGAGATTTCTGCTCAGGTACAGGTAGGACTAAGTGACTTCTGAGGTTTCTTTCAATTGTGTAATTCTCTGGCTATATTCTGATTCTTGGATTATATAATGCCTAAATTAGGCAAACCTAGTATTGCTCTTAGTAACTTTAAAGTGCTATGTAATTATTAACTATCATAATTATCATCATCATCATCAATTCCTCTTTGCAGGAATCCTCTGTGGTATACCTAACAGAACGTATATTCACTCTCTAAATATATAGGGCAATGTGAACAAGAGCCACAAGCTATAGAAGATCTGATCTATACACACAATCCTCCCTATGTTCTGAAAGCACAGTTGCAGTAATGTAATAAGATCCTAGATTTGGAGCTGGAAGACACCTTTGTGGTTAATCTGGTCTGACCCTCTCCATTGTACAGATAAGGAAAGTGAGGCCCAGGTATTGACCTGTAATTTGAAAACATATTTGTGATACTAGTTCATTGCACTTTGGAAAAGAATTTTTTTTTCCTGAAATATGTGTGAGGCAGGATGGTCACACTTAACTCTTGTTCCTGGAAAGAATCATTTTTAATATGTATCAGAGATAATGCCTTTACTAATAACACCTCTAGAACATCTTCAGTGTTTTCATTTTGTTAGGAATTCCTGTGCTTGCATGGTTTTCAGTTTATTTGGGGGTGTAGGTATATGGTATAAGAAATGACACATTCCTGGAAGGAATGTTAGTGACTTTCCAAGTATCCCCAGTCAAGGGGTGAAATTATACCATCTGGGTTAGACTAGGGTCCTTTCCACAGGGCCAAGGAAAATGTGGGCAGAAACAGCTAGAATGACTGATCTGACTTCTTTTAGGCTAGGGAAGCCTGCTTTTTCTCTGAACTCTGCCATATGGTATCTTGAAATGTATACTCTGTCAGTGTCTGCCTTTCTTTTGTGCTCATGAACCACTGATCACCAAAGTATTTTTCTAACTTTCTGTGCATCCTAATGGAGTTTACTCATGACTGGTATATTCAAAGGCACTGGGAGTTTGTTTACTCTAGATTGGTGCATTTGTAAAAGGTGCTAGCTCCCTTCTTTATCCAGGTAAAGAGCAGTGGAAAAGCACAATGTTCAGGAGCCCCTAGGGTCAGTCTGAAATCCTGTTAAGAGCTGACCAGCTCCTGGCTGAATGTAATATGCCAGAGGCTCATGGAGTCATCAGTTTAGAGCTGGGGGAACCTGAGAGGCCATTTAGTCCAAACCTGTTCATTTTACGGATGAGGAAACTGAGGCTTTGAGTAGTTAAAGATCTTAGAACTAAGTGTGTGAGGTGAGATTTAAACCTAGGTCTTCCTGACTCTAAGACTCATGCCCCATCCTCTGTGGCTATGCCACAAGGTATTTGTGTTCACCTTATCCTTTTTTAATGTTTTGAAAGAAAATGAAGATTTTTGTTTGAAAATATTTATTTTCAAGACCTTCAGAATTGCTCCGTGAAAATTAAATTTCCAAGAAAATCAAGATATACAACAATGCATTTCTTTTGTTACAGCGAGCATTACAATCCAGACAAACACAAAACCATAACACAAATCAGTAATCTTCAAAAACCTGGGCAAAGAAAAAAAAATTCAAACAGAACACCACACTCCAATTTCGAGGAGTTGAAAATGAAAGGTAAAAAAAATGAGCAGAAATGAAGAGTTTTTCCCCCCCGATCCTATATCTAATGTATTAAACCTTTGACACTAGGAATCAGGGTGTCTCATTAAATCACATAAGTGCTTAGTGTCAAAGGAATGGTACTCAAGAAATTCAAACACCTGTATTAGGTGAACAGTGACGAATGATGAGTAGCTCACTATTATAGATTGGTAGCAATTCCAAAAAGCAAGAGGCTAAAATGCACCCTCTTTCTCTCCTTCTACTTTCTATTCCTAACAAAACAATTAGGGAGCAGATATCAGGAATACCTCCCTTTACCTTTCATTTCAAACAGTACAAAAGGAGCAAATATCACAAATACTCCCTTTTACCTTTTGTTCCAAACAATACAAAAGAAACAAATATTAAACATAAATAAATAATACAAAATACTACTAAATAATACAAAGGGAACCAATACCACTATCAGAAACAGCCCCTCCTTTTACTTTTTTCCTTCAAGCAATACAAAAGGAACCAATATCAGAAATACCTCCCATTATCTTTTGTTCCAGTACAAAAGGAATAAAAATTTAACCATATGTTCTAAATAATACAAAAGGAACAAATTTCAGAAATACCCACTTTATACCTTTTGTTCCAAACCATAAAAAAGTAACAATATCAGAAATACCTGTCCTTTACCTTTTGTTCCAAACAATACACAAGAACAATAATTGGAAATAACCCCATTGCTTTTTGTTCCAAACAGTACAAAAGAAATCAATATTTAATTATGCGTTCTAAATAATAAAAAAGGAACAAATATCAGAAATCCTACCCCATTACCTTTTATTCCAAACAATACAAAAGAATGATGGGAAATACTCTCCCATTACTTTTCATTTCAAATAACATAAAAGAAATAAATATTTAACCATATCTTCTAAATAATATAAAAGGGACAAATATGAAAAATACCCATTTTATACCTTTTGTACAAAAGTAGGAAATATCAGAAATACCACCCTATTACCTTTTGTTCCAAACAATACAAAACAATAATTGGAAATATCCTCCATTACTTTTTGCTCCAAGCAATAAAAAAACACCTATATGTTCTAAACAATACAAAAAGAACTGAGATCAGAGATACCCTCATTATCTTATTCCAAGCAATGCAAAAGGAATAAAAATGTAACCACACCTTCTAAACAATATAAAAGAAACACATATCAGAAAAATTCACCTTACATCTTTTGTTCTAAACCATACAAAAGGAACAAATAAGAGAAATATCCCCCGTTACTTTTTGTTTTAAACAATATAGAAGAAATCCCCCCTTTTCCTTTTGTTCCAAATAAAACAGAAGGGACAAATATCAGAAATACTCCTACCCTTTACCTTCTGTTCCAGACTATAGAAGGAACAAATATCAGAAATACACCTTCCTTTTACCTTTTGCTCCACAGTCTAAATAAGGAACAAATATCAGAAATCCCCTTTTCCCTTTTGTTCCAAATAAAACAGAAGGGACAAATATCAGAAATACTCCTACCCTTTACCTTCTGTTCCAGACTATAGAAGGAACAAATATCAGAAATACCCCTTCCTTTTACCTTTTGTTCCAAAGACTAAATAAGGAACAAATATCAGAAATCCCCCCTTTTCCCTTTTGTTCCAAATAAAACAGAAGGGACAAATATCAGAAATACTCCTACCCTTTACCTTCCTATTCCAGACTATATAAGCAACAAATATCAGAAAAACCCTCTTGTTACTTTATCTTCCAAACAAATACCTAAAGACCCAACATTAGAACTTTTTTTTGTCTATGCAAGAGAACATACTGATGTGTTTTTACTGAGATTCAACTATGACAAATATTCTCAGGTTCTTCTGCAGCTTTCTGAAGATACTCAGGAGAAGCAAGCTCATAATCATTGGGACTAAACAAAGCTGCAGAATTTTTTGCTAAGTATTTTACAAAATCATGCAAATACTCTGATAATAAAGTGGTACTATGACTATCAAAGAATGCACATGACAGCATGTCTCCAATTTTTACAAATAATCGCAGTAGATGTGGTGCTCCGTAGATCTGTGACATTGGGACGCCAGGATCATTTGCTAGGATTGTAGCATACTGTGGTTTCTCAAATGTATACAACAGGTGAGAGCCTAGCATCAGATTGAAGTATTCTCTGATCCCTGCTACAACTTCAGGAACACCACAGATCTTATCTTCTGAGTTGGCATAAGACTTTTCATAAAGTTCATAGTCCTCCAAGATTGATTCCACATTCTTCTTGGCAGGAAGACAAAATAACTTCTTTTGTCCAGTGATCAAGTTCCAGTCATTCACAAGCCATGGTTTCAGTTCTGCAGGAATATTTATTTCAAAGTCTGATCTTCTCATAAATCCACTACATGGTTCACCATCAGAGTTCACTAGGGCTCCTCCCCAATGTGGTTGCTGAGATATTTCACTCTTACTACCATCTCTGCTTCCAGTATTACAACCAGCTATGTTTCCAGCACTACCACTACCTGTTACACTCACTATATTTTGCTCCTTTCTGCTTGTCTTTACTGATACTGAGGGGACTTCAACATTATTTTCTACAGTATTTTGCTGTGGACCCTCAGAAGTGTTCTTTCCTGAAGCTATCCCTACCATTTTCCCTTTTGCAGATTGCTCCTGACTAGCTTCAAAAAGTTCTCTTTGTTTCTGAAGACTGATTTCTGAATACTTAAGTAATCTGCTTTCTGGAACCCACTCATCATCCCAGCCAGCAGTGGGGTAGAGAGGATCTTGAGAGGCAACATTATCATCATCTTCAGTAGGAAAGTGACCTACATCAGCCTTAGCCTTGCCCTTTCCCCTACCCTTGCCCTTTTTCTTGGCCTTACCCTTACCCCCTTTCTGCTCTTTGCTAGCCTCACTAACTTTTCTTGCCTCACTGGTTTCAGCAGTTTCACAGGATACACTGGCTTCAGCTACCTGACTGATTTCTCCAGCCTCACTGGTTTCATGGAACTCACTGGTTTTAATGGCCTCAGTGGCTTCATGAGAGTCCTGGCTTTCAGAGGCCTTAAAAGTATCACTGGCCTCAGCAGCTTCACAGGCCATGGTAGCTTCAGGGATTTCACAGGCTACAGCAGCTTCTTGGGCCTTTGTAGCTTCATGGATTTCACGGGCTGCAGCGGCTTCTCCGGCCTCACGGATCATACAGGCCATATGTGTTTCACGGACCTCAGTGACTTCACAAGATACACGGACCTTGATGGTTTCATCACAGGCGTTGGTGGCTTTGTGGGTTTTGGTGATTTCACAGGTTTCAATGTCCTTAGTAGCTTCCCGGGCCTCAGCAGCTTCACAGGCCTCAGCACCTTTCTCACCTTCATGGATTGCAAGGGAGGTACTGGTTTCACAGACCTCAGTGGCTTCATCTTGGGCTTTAATGGCTTCATCAAGGGCTCTGGCAGCTTCCTGAACCTCAGCAGCTTCATCAGCTTCACGGATTGCACTGGTTCTGCGGGTTTCAGGGACCTCAGGTTTCAGGTGTCTCACTGGTTGCATGAGACCTGGTGGTTTCTTCTTGGGCTTTAGTGGCTTCATCAAGGGCTCTGGCACCTTCCCCGGCTTCACAGGTTGCACTGGCCATACCGGTTTCACGGACCTTGATGGCTTCAGGCGTTTCAAAGATTGCGTGAGCCCTGGTGGCTTCATCACGGACCTGAACGGCTTCATGAACCTCACAGATTACACAGGCATTATGGGATTCAGGGGCCTCACTGGTTCCACTGACTTCAATAGCCTTGGGGGCTTTACAGCCTTCACTCACCTCCCCAGTCTCTTGGACCTTACTGGCCTCCCCTGCTTTCTGGGTCTCCCGAGCCGCCATCTTGTCCAGCTTTTCGGAGAGCCTGGTGCGCACGGCGCCCTTCTCGTTGCCTCCCGGGTAGTGAATGAGGTACGTGACCTTCCTGTACTTAACGGACACCTTCACACACTCCGCCTCATAAAGCAGGGGCCCGTGGAAACACAACACCCGCTCCCCGACCTCAAACTGGGGCTTCCTGGGGCGCTTCTTGGGGTCTTTCTTTGGCGCCATCTCTCCCGTAGGGGGCCCGGAGCCGCCGACCACCTTCGCCCGCCTCCGCTACTGCTGCCACATACAGCCCAGGCACTGCGGCCTCAGTCAGGCCCGGAACCCCGATTGTACCTCCCACTCTGTTGCCCGCTGGTCTCACCTCAGCCTGGCGTTCGGACGCAGTGGAAGTTAATTGGGTTGATTTTTTTGTTTGGTTGATTTGACGTTGATGTACTAGGCACAGCTAACAGCAGCGAGCCTAGCTAATGGCAGACTTAGCTCCGGAGAGGCTTCGCTCCGGCGGAGGGCTGCTGCTCCAGCCAATGGCAAGGCACATCAGCTGCCACCAATAGCAGTTGCTCTTGCCCTGATTCGAGTGTTTCTTTTCCCACCCTTAGTTGCTATTCCAGCCAATGGCCAGGCAGCTCAGCTCCCACCAAGACCAGTGTTCTAGCCAATAACCAGACATCTCAGTTGCCGCCAACGGCGGCTGCTCCAGCCCATGGCCTGGTGTCTTAGCTTGCCACCAAGGGTTGCAGCTTCAGCCAGTTGTCCTAGCACCGTGGTGGCAGCTCACAGGACTCGTTGCTCCAGCTTGCTAGGGCCACTTAGCTCTGCCCTCTCTACAGGTTCAAATAATTTTTATTCTATTGCATTAAGCAAACATTAATTTTTTGCTGTGTGCCTCAGGGTACTAGCTTGTAAGGATGGATCTAAAGACAAATGCAATAGTGTGTAGCAGCTTACGGAGACATGTGCAGGGCCACGAATTGCAGAAGTGGATGAGTCTCCAGGACAGGGGTCCCACCAAACATGCAGTACTATTCATGTGCAAGCATGCATGCATGCATGCATGGTTGTGTGCATACATAGTGTGTGCATGCATGGGTACATATATATATATATAGGGGGTGAATTTATGCATGTATTATGTGTACACATGCAAATGGGAGACTCTCAAGAAGAGAGTTTGCCCTCAGCCATGAAGGGGGTCTGGAAAGCTGTCCTGGAGGATGGCTACCTCTTCTTTGGATCTTAGATTTAGAGCTGGAAGAGACTTTAAAGGGCATCTAGTCCAAACTCATCCAGGGGTCTGAGCACACAGGATCAGGGCCCCTTCTTTCCCCTGTCAAAAATACACACACATAGGAAGATGTGAACTCTCTAATTCGGTGTGTTATATACAGTATGTATCCAAAATCTTAGTGTAGTTTTAAACATTAATAGCCTAAAACTGCACCAAGACTTTTGGGATACTCTGTATATATATTTGTGTGTGTGAACACATATGTACATATATGTAATCCTTTTTATTTAACCTTTGCTTGCCTCAGTTTTCTCAACTGTAAAATGGGGGCAATGATAATAGCACCTATTATCTAGCAGAGTTGTTTTGAGGATCAAATGAAATAATGTATGTAAAGTGCATAGTAAGTGCTCTATGAATATTCGATGTTGTTACTATTATTGTTGTTGTTATCATTATTATCATTATTGTAAACAGAAGATAGGCTGGACAGATAACAAGAGGGAAGATAGCTAGGTAGCTCTTTTAATTTTTGTGAAATGCCAGGAGGGTGTGTCATGACCTGCATTCCAGGAAGGACTGCTCAAATCTGGGAGATCACAGATCCATTTGCAAACACTTTTCAGAAAGAAAAAAATGGCTTCCTATTGCTCTTCAGTAAAATAAAGCTACACTGAGATCTATTTATATCACATTTTGCCTTAAAGTGTTCTAAATGACTAAAACTGGATGGCCTTGAAGAGGAAATGAGAATGGGAGGGAGTGCAGTCTATGAGCTGGGCTTAGAGCTTCCTTGTGTCTGTGGCTGTCCTGAAGTCAAGTTGAGTGAACTAAGTGAGCCTCCTGTATTCTTTAGTCTCCGTGCTAATAGATAGAATAAGTAAAATCTCTGTCCACAAAAAGAGAGTGTTTAACTTGTCTTTGAAATGTGGCATAAGGGAGTTGGTGGGGGAAAATGACTGAGACAAAGGAGACTTGATTCCTAGGATTCAGAGTCATTTCATCTCTCTGGGCCTCAGTTTCCTTGTATGTAAAATGAGGGGATTCAATGGTTTCCTTCAAGACTCAGCTCAAATCAACTTCTGCAGGAGGCCTTTCTCATTTCCCCCCTCCCATCTCCCATGCCTTCCCTCCTAGGTTATCTTCTATGAGTACTGCATATTATATATGTATATGTGTTTGTATATATGCATATATGTATGCATATGTATATATGTGTGTGTCTCTATCCATCTGTCTTTCTATCTATCTATCTGTCGTTGTTTGCATGATGTTTCCCCCTTTAAACTGTGAGTTCTTTGACAGAGGGGTCATGGGAGGTTTTTTTCCCTTTCTTTGTATCCCCAGTGCTTAGCACAATGCCTGATATATAATAAATACTTAATAAAATGCTTGTTGACTGACTTGCTGACTGGCTGAGCTGACTAATTCTTTGGTGTCTTGCTATACTGGAAATTCATTTACCCTCCAGTATAGAATCTGCGTTAGCACATGTATTCTACGTGGATGTAGAATCCCAAGGAAAAAATCCATGGATACATCCACAGGCCTTTTGAACTTCACATACTCCAGGGGTGGGGAACCTTCGACCTCAAGGCCACATGTGGCCTTCTAGGTCCTTGGGTGCGGCCTTTTGACTGAGTCCAAATTCTACAGAAGAGATCTTTTTATGAAGGGGATTTGTTCTGTGAAGTTTGGATTCAGTCAAAGGGCTGCACTTGAGGATCTAGAGGGCCACATGTGGAGTCAAGGCCACAGGTTTCCCACTCCTCCAGGACATATGTCTGACACTGGCCAGATAATTTAGAATTAGTTACCATCTTCCTTACTTGAATTGTTTTAATTGCTTATTGTTTTCTTTTGCTTTCACCCCTAAATAGGAAATGATGTTCTCCTCCTATTTCCCCTGTTATAAGTTAATAGGTATTCATGGGGCACCTAGGTGGTAGAGTGGATAGAGTGGTGGGCCAGGAGTCAGGCAGACTTATTTTCCTGATTTCAAATATGGCCCCAGACACTTACTAGCTGTGTGACCCTAGGCAAGTCACTTAATCCTTTTTGCCTCAGTTTCCTTATGTGTAAAATGAACTGAAGAAGGAAATGGCAAACCATTCCAATATCTTTGCCAACAAGACCACAAATGGGGTCACGAAGAGTCAGACATGACTGAAAAACAGCAACAACAACAGCAACATTTTCAGGGAGACGTCAAGGGAGAAGTCCAACATGATATTCCTGAGGCTCTCAGGTGATGGTAACCCATATTAGGAAAGAAGGTGGGTTATGTTTTGCATCTGCCTAAGGAAAAAGTACAAATATGATCCAATTTGGTTCTTATAGCAATCCTGTGAGGTTGATGCTATTATTTTCCCCATTTTACAATTGAGCAAACTGAGGCAGACAAAAGTTCAGTGTTTTGCCCAGGGTCACACTGGTCACACAGTGTGTGAGGCTGAATTTGAACTCAGGGTGTTTCTGACCCCAGGTCAATTGTTCTATGCACTGTGACACCTAGCTCCTCTTGTAGGTATCTTGAAGGTACCTATTTATATGCATTCTGTTATATTTATTTGTTTATTCGTGTTGTCTCCTCCATTAGAATGTAAGCTTCTCGAGAGCAGACATTTTTTATTTATCGCAGCCCCAGTGAGTAACACATTTAATAACTACTTATTAAATGTCTGCTGATTGATTTGATCATTTGACCTGGATGCAGTGAGTAGAGGCTATGGAGATAGTGAGGAAGAGGGCTAATGAGGAAGTCACCCAAGGTGGTGGGAAGGCTCATAGGACTCCATCCCCATCCTTAGAAACATGCCTCTTGCTTTCTTCCTCTGATAATAATATCAATCTGAGCAGTTATTGCCAATAGCAAGCGAGAGGTGATGAGTGGTATTGGTTATAACTGGTCAGATTCTTCGTAAATAATCAAATAGTCATCTCCTTATCTCTGTCTCTCATGTCTTCCTCCTCTAGTCTGTCTCCCACTTAGCTGTCCGAATCATCTCGCCACATTACTCCCTACTCAGTAATTAGGGGCTCTTTCTTGCCTCAAGGTTCAAACTCCTCTTTTCAGTATTTAAAGTCCTTCATGACTTGGTTCCAAAATGCCTTTGTGACCTTGTTACACACATTCTGTCAAACTGTTTCTCACACTCCTCACTCACTCAATCCAGTCTCCTTGCCTTTGCACATGCAGTGCCCCACCCCATGCCTGGAATGTACCCCTTTCTGTCTCTCTCATTCCCTTCCCTCCTCTGCTTTATAATTCCTGACTTCCTTCTAGCCTCAGACACTAGCTATGTGACACTAGTCGAGTCACTTAACCTCTGTTCTCTGCCTCAGTTTCTGCAACTGCAAAATTTGGATAACAACAGCACGTACCTCGCAGGATTGTTATGAGGATATTTGTAAAGTGCAGTCCGGTAAATATTAGGTACTATATGAATGTTTATTCTCTCCCCATGATGTAGGGAACTGCATCATGCTGTCTCTCAGATCTCTTAACACTGGAAGTCAGTAATCCATTCTGCCTTTTAAATACATCATAAATCAACGGACTTGAGCTAAAGTGCTTTTGTAAAGATGATTCAGCGTGTATAGCAAGGAGGCTGACCACAATGGTTTACAACAGTGGTCTCTAAAGTGGGATGCTTTCAGGGATGTGCCAGAATCACCTCAAAACACTGTCAAGGACTAATTGTTAAATTTTCAGTTTAAGCATTTATGCCTTAGAAATTGGCAAATGCTACAATTCAGGGATTGATTTCTTGTTTTGTTTATTGTCTAGACTTAAGAAAGTGATATAAAAATGTTAATAAGAGATCAAACTTAAAAAAATATGTGGAGAGCCCTCCCAAGAGCTGATTGTTAAATATTTAGCAGCACATCCCCTTTGGTGTGTTTGCTCTTTCTTTTAATGTATTGTAATAAATTGCAGCTTACCTGTGACCTGTTAAGTGGATTTATATATTATATTATCCAATTTTAACTAAAGCCCTCACAAAATGGACAAGTAGCTTAAAAAGATCTTGTGAAGAAACCACAGATAGAAGATAATATTAATAATAGGTGCACAAGCAGCTAGCGAGAAAGTGGCAGATCTGGCCCTTCTACTCTCGGTACAAAAACAGTGACAATCTAATTGGATGTAATGAGAAGTCTGCCACAAAAAATCCTAGATTATCAAGAAGTTTATTTGACACAGATTTCCACCCACTAATGTTAACTCTGAACCTGCCT